GCTGCTGCTGCTAACAAGAAGCAGGTAAGTCTCTCTCTCTCTCTCTCTCTCTCTCTCTCTCTCTCTCTCTCTCTCTCTCTCTCTCTCTCTCTCTCTCTCTCTCTCTCTGAATGTTCTTACACGCTCTCCCTCTCTCTACTGCGCTATGCTACAGTGCCCAGTGCCATCGACTACTTCCTCGTCGGGCATTGTTCATGTGTCCAAGATCTTGCTGCACAATGCCGCAGCAGCGCTTATGCATAAGCCAAAATCAAAGAATAGGAGGTTCCAGGCTGCGGCCTCCCTTTTGTGCATCTGGTTCCTCCTCTAGTTGGCGTTGTCGGCCCCTCTCGGGCCTTGCACTGGCCGACAAATCTTCGGACTGTCCCTAGGTCTTTCTCGGGACTGACCGGCGACTTGACCGGGAGTGGATATGTTGCGACACCCCACCTACAAACCACAAGGCACTTCCATTGTGCATGCAGGCCTTATGCTACCGGGGGCCGTGTCCCACTTGTCGAGGTTCAGTTCTGGTTTCGAGTATGCATGGCTCCCTGCCATCCAATCTATAAACCTCATGGCCACAGTAAGACCACGTTGAAAAATACACGAAATATAAACTAAACCCCCGCTGGTGGGACATGGCCCCGGATCTCTAGTTTGGCGTGTGCAGTACCTACCGTATTGTTCTACGTGTGGCCCTTGATACAAAAGAAAATGGGATGCAGTACCGGGCCCGCGGTGCGGAGGTGCTCTAATCCTTTCACTGACCAAATATATATTAAGTTATTAATTATATCCGATGAGATATATATCGATTGGACTACCATCAATGGCTTACTATCTATAGATAGATGCCAATTGGAGTATGTACATACTATGTATTGTATGCAGATTTCCTTGTACATACTATGCATTGTATTTGTATTGTATGTAGACTTCCTTGAATGGGAACAAATTCTGAACAGTGTCACTAGTCTCACTCATGCGGAAACTCAATCCTTCTTCGGGAAAGGTCATATACATATGCATTCAGGAATCTCGCAAATGAATACAAAAATGAATTATTGTCTGTATCCGTGGTCCTATGGGCGATCGCAAGAGCGTTTTCTTTTCCTTTGGCCTCTCACTCAAAGAAAGATTGGAAAACTACGAAGCAAGTAGAATAAACTTCAATAAAGAGCCATATGATCAGTGACTCTCTCTTACGGTTGAGAGAGGACACAAGTACCGCTTGCATGTTTGGCTCCATGGGAAAGTTTCAAATTTCACTCTATTGAATTTTCAAATTTTCATCCACTTGTAATTCCAAGTAACAATTTGTAATTCTTTGTTCTGAAAAAGTTGATAGTTCCGCTCGAGCAAATTTGTTCACAAAAAAAAATCATACTCTCTTCTCACCCAAGATTACTTTTTGTTTTCTAATTTTAGTCCTGTCCATCTATCCATCTCCAGCAACCCAAGGACTCGAAAAATCAAAATAGTGAGACTCTTGAGTCATTTCAATAGGCTCAGATTTTTTTTTTATTTTTTTTTTTTGAATAAGCAGAACCTTCGGGTTCTGGGTCCTACCATTCTGGGGAGCGACAGTCCGGTTCCTATTCCCCCGGCAAGTCAATATGAAATACATAGAAGACTCACGCACGGTCCTCCCCATTATGGCTGAGAGGCCCGAGTGGGCGGCATTGATTACTTCCTTGAGGAAGGATGTACCCCCTCTCACCCCTGCCTAATTTAGCCTATACTGGCTTGGCTGTCAATCTGATTGCCCTCGAAATTGCTCCTCTCAGCTATGACGCTGTCAGGTCTCCATGAATATTAACTCTATGGCTGCACTATCATTGTTCCTGCTCATAACCATAAAACCCTAAACCCTAGGTCTAGATGTTGTCCTGACTTGTCGGTGACTGAGGTTCCAGGTAGAAAAATAGTCCTCCTAAATCTGTCACAGTTTTCGCTCGAGAAAAACAGTCCGGATGCTTGTTTGTCGGACCTCCACCTTGGAACTGGCAAGAAATCCTTTGCTTAAGGATGTTTGTGCAAAGATTTCCTTGGCAAGCTCTGTCCATGGTCCAGCCCTATCCTTTCCTCCAAAATGTACGCACTCGGTTCCCTCCTTTCCTGTCTTCGTTTCCTCTTTATGAATCTGACAATGGGGAGCCTTGTCCCTGTGTTGTACTCTGTTGCCCCTCTCTTCCCATCGCATTCGAGATGTGCCAGTCCTTCCAACGTATGTTGTCGTCCCTCAGTTCAGCCACTTTGTCGTCGATCAACCAGATTTACTGAAATTCCGTCTGGCTTTGTTTCATTGTTCCTCATCTTCGGACCATGACTGCTTGATTCTCCGCCATCTGCACAGAATCGCCGCCTGAATCATTGTTTTCGTCTCCGTCCAGACCACTTCACTAGTATTGGATATTTCTTCGATCGTTCTGCTGCATCTCTCCTTCCATATGACCCAAAGGGTCACTTTCCTGATCATCCCGAACCAGACTTTTTCCACTTTCCGGAGTTGTTGGGGAATGTTAATAAGAAGAAGGACTTGGATGGGTTTTTCAGGAAAAGSGGCKGGTAGAAGGGAATTCCAGAGGGTCACAGCTTTTGCCCAAAACTTTTTCGCCTCCCTACAGTGAACTAAGCAATGTGTTATSWCTTCTGTTACGTTCTCTGTACACACCTTACATGTATCAGAGCTGTCTGGGTTGGAACCTTTCCGCCTGACATGTAACCATTGATTGACTGGCAGGGCTGCATATGTAAYTAGCCATTGGAAGCTTCTGAYTTTGATAGGTCTGATYGCTTTGTAGGTTTTCCACGGAATTCGCRTGAYGCTGTCGGCTTCCTGACCTAACAGTCTTTGCCACCTGGTTTTGATAACCGGTTCTGGGTCTTTTGTTTTTAACATTAATTTGTAACCTAGTTTGACYGTGTAGTCTTGTATGGGTGTGCGTTTATTAACATTTGCCTTCTTGTCTGGTTTCCATGTCCACTCCCCTGGGTCGAACTCCAAGTTACGCAGTGCCGTATCAGATCTGTAGATACTTTTCGGCCACGTTCCTAAAACTCTTACTTTCCTGAGCAGAAAGCCCTGCATGACTACGGTTTCTACATTGGTGTTTATGATCGACGGCATTCCGTCTCTGGAGTGTGTAACTGGAAAAGAGGTCAACACGGCTTGTGTAGTCGCACCTTGTTGTGAATGTGAGAACTGAAAGGCCCTTGACGGAGGGTTTTCCTGCACCTTGATCCCCCAGTCTCCACTTTTCCAGTCCCCTTCTTGTGCCAGTATATCCTTCCAATACTGAGGGATCAGATTAATGATGTATTGTCGGTTCAGGCCTCTTCGGTGGCAACACTTCAGACATCTTTCCAATTTCTGTTCCGTTACCCAATCCTTCTTTTCTTTGTTCCACAAGTGGTTAATCCTCCATATGCCATTCTTTACCCATGACAGCCATTTGTGGTCTAGAAACAAGGGTTCGTCGCTTTCGGATCTCAGCCATTCATTACCAAAAAGAGGTTGTCTTAGTACCTCATCTTTTGATTTTGGTCGATTGGTCTTTTTCGGCATTATTTCCCTCCAAATCCGAATGATAGCCGTCCAATACGGGGTTTGCCTGTTGGCGGGGTCCTGTTCTATTCCTCTCCTGGATCTTCTTCTCCTGTTCTTCAATGACCATTCCTTGTTCATTACCCAGAATAATCCTGACATGTTGCTAGGTGATGGTACCGGGGCTAGCTCCCTAATACTGTCCAGGGCCAATTTGTTCCACGCCGTGCCTGGCTTCATCAGCAGCCGGATTATCCATTTGACTTGAAGGGCTCTTGTTTCACACTTAGGGTCAATTACGCCTAAACCCCCTTGTATGGGCTTTCTTGAGATGTAATGCCATGCTATTTTGAGGATACAGCTTCCCTTGTTCGGATTGCCCGTCCAGAGGTATGTTCTTGCTACCCGATTTAGTTCCTTTAGAGAGTCGTCTGGGATTGTCCATATAGACGCAATGTACCACATCATGGAAAACAATTACGTGTTAAGCGTTAAAACCCGACCAAACAGTGAGGTAAAAGTATCGCCCCATCTTACCATCTTGATTAGCTGCTTTGACAGCACATTCTGGGCCATCTGGGGCGCCAGCCCGTCCCTTGTCAAGAGAATGYCAAGATATCGGGTAGGGGTTTCCGGAGTTTCCCAGGTCATGTCAGCCTCCTGACCTTGTAATTTCGGGATTGGTTCGTCAGACAACCACCAGCCTATAGTCTTTTTCCAGTTGATTCTCATTTCTGATGCCAATCTGAAAGCTTCCATTGCCCTGGACGGTGCTTGGAAGGACGAGTCTGATGCTCTAATCAACACTGTCATGTCATCTGCGAACAAAATAACTGTCGGAAAGCTGAAATGGTGCGCTGTTCCTACATTAACTTCTGGGAGTCTATGAATGGACGGGTCCTTCCGTAGGAAGGAGGCTCAGAAATATTACGTTTCTCTAAATAGTAAATCCTATGATGTTTATGACAATATTGTATACGACTACTATAGATACATATTGTTTCTATTTTCCAAGATCTTCTATCAAAACTATATTTTTTTGTGTTGTTCCATCATCTTTCTCCTATAGGGAGGTCCCACTGTGCATCTCTGGTCAATCCGAAAAGGTTTTACAATCGAATTGCTTCCGTCCGCCCTCTTCCTGTCTGTCTCATCAGGCTCGAGGTTCCTGCCACACAAAAAAAGACAGCAAATGACAATGGCATTGGGGATTATGACCCCCTTTATAAAAATTTTAGAAAACTAAATTTCAGAAATATTCTAGAGAAGGATATTTCAAAGTTCACAAAGCTCAAACTAAATTTCAGAAATATTCTAGAGAAGGAAAATAATAATTCAAAATATTTGAAATTTTGAATTATATTTCAAACAACCTGTGTGGACTTAGTGGAGGGGAAAAAAAAGAATGAAAAGCCCACTGGAAATCGAGCATGCATTGGGCGGCAGTGGGGTCATGGAATCGCACACTCACCACCGTTGGATCCACTACCCTCCCAAACCAAAGAACATTGTCCACGGCAATTACACCACCGGGACGTACCTGAGACAAGGAAAAATCACCCACAGAGAAAAGAGACAAAAACACATGAAAGTTGATGAAACCGATTTAAGTCCTCAAGATTCACATTTGGTACCTCCTCCATCCACCAACTCCCTTCATGGGTCTCCTTTTGCTTCTTTTCCCCTTCCTTTTCCACATTTGTTGCTTGCCGTGTTTGTTTGTTTTTTTTTTTTTTTTTTTTTTTTTTTTTTTTTTAAGCATTCTGCAATCAGACTCGCATTCATTCACACTTCACATGTATGCAAACAGGTTGCGCAGCAAACTGGCGTCGAGCGCCCACTCAGAACTCAGAGATTTAGTACCAAGAACTCAGTTCAGATACAAGTTCACTTCCACTGGCTATGGCGGCACATCGCCTGTACAAGTCTCTGTTCGTCACTCACTCGACACTGCTGTTCACACACAGGATCACCCTGGATACCCCACACACAACACACTCTGTACACTCACACACACCCGCACACATCTACAGCTATGGCGGCTATGGCTGCTGCTACCCTATCACTATGGCTACACTTCTTCTCGCCCACTTCGTCCTCGGGCTCACTGCAGACCACCTCCCACAAGTCGCTATGGCAGCGCTTCCGCATGGCTCACACAGGAATGAATGCGAGTCTGATTGCACTGGTATCAGAGCTGAGTTCTTGGTACGATATCTCTGAGTTCTGAGTGGGAGCTTGACGCCAGTTTGCTGCGCAACCTGTTTGCATACATGTGAAGTGTGAATGAATGCGAGTCCACACTTCACTGTATGCAAACAGGTTGCGCAGCAAACTGGCGTCAAGCGCCCACTCAGAACTCAGAGATATAGTACCAAGAACTCAGCTCTGATACCAGTGCAATCAGACTCGCATTCATTCCTGCATGAGCCATGCGGAAGCGCTGGCATAGCGACTTGTGCGAGGTAGTCTGAAGTGAGCCCGAGGACGAAGTGGGCGAGAAGAAGTATAGCCATAGTGATAGGGTAGCAGCGGCCATAGCCGCCATAGCTGTAGGATGGTCCGTCCTCGCCGCCCTTGACTTCTAGGACTGGCCACGGCCCTCTCTATAAGCAGGCAATAACTTTTGCGAAATGTTCTCCTCAGGAGCAAACTCTTTCGACTTGACCCAATTCCATGTGTTCCCCCTGCAGCTGCTCCTCCCCTTCTTCCTCCTTCCCTTCTTTTCCTGCTCTGTGTCTTGCGTTCAAGTTCTCCAGGAAGGCGATTTCCGTCTGTTGCCCGACCTTGTTCAGCTCTGCCATAGTTTTCTTTCTCTGCTGCTCATCCCTGACCATCCCCTCATCCACCATCGGTCGTACCAGGTAACCCGTGTCTTTGTCATCCATTGTTTTCGGCCCGACCTCTCTCCAGCTACTGTCATACGATGGATAGATGTCGGGCTTCACCTTCGGCTCTCCCTTCAGGACCCACACCCATCGTGGGATTTCCATGTTGTCATAAAAAATCCAGCCCCGGTACTGGGCTACGTTAACGTGCAATACCCTGGGCTTGTTTTCACATTTGACTAACATGGATGTTGCTTGCCTTTTTTAAGGTTTCCAACCATTTTCTCTTTCCCTTCCGATTCTGTTACTTGTTTTTCAAACTTTTTCTCTCAACTGTGTTCACTGGATGCTGAGTGCAATTCCTCAAGGCCTAATAACACCAGGCATGACAACTAGTAAGCTTGCAAGCTCTCTCTCTCTTTCTCTATATATATATCGTCAAATAGAACTGCCCGGTAAACCGTAGGCAGAGAGGGAGAAGAGGACAACAAACGAGGGGCTGTGACAAACTGTTTCNAGAGGGAGAAGAGGACAACAAACGAGGGGCTGTGACAAACTGTTTCGTCGGAGTTTCACCGACTCATCAGGAGGCTATATATATATATCGTCACAAACATATATATATTATGTATATATATTTACCGCGCACTGCGGGCAGCTCTGTTTGACGATATAAACTCCGACGAAACAGTTTGTCACAGCCCCTCGTTTGTTGTCCTCTTCTCCCTCTCTGCCTACGGTTTACCGGGCAGTTCTATTTGACGATATATTCTATAGAATATATATATAGAATATATACATATTACATATGAATATTAATAATAATTATAATATTATATATATTGTCAAACAGAGCTGCCCGGTAAACCATAGGCAGAGAGGGGGAAGAGGACAACAAACGAGCAGCTGTGACAAACTGTTTCGTTGGAGTTTCACCGGCTGCCCGACAACTGATGCCCTGAGGTGGGCACCAACCACTGCCCTCAAGGTACCTGTGACGAAAATCAAAGCAGACTATCACTCATCCACACCAAATGGAAAACTCTACAGACTGTCGGTTCACACCCCATCACAAGCAAGCAAAACACCCACAAAACAAAGAAAGGTCTGTCACAGCCAAAAAATACACTCCAGACATGCCGCTGGCACTAGAGGCACAGCATGGCCGCATAGTGACGGCCCCGACCACTGCCGCTCGACCTCACCGGAGAAAACTGTAGTAGGGTGGTAGCAAAGTCGTGGTACATATCGTCAAACAGAGCTGCCCGGTAAACCGTAGGCAGAGAGGGAGAAGAGGACAACAAACGAGGGGCTGTGACAAACTATTTCGTCGGAGTTTCACCGACTCATCAGGAGGCTGAACCCTATATATATGAAACTCCGACGAAACAGTTTGTCACAGCCCCTCGTTTGTTATCCTCTTCTCTCTCTCTGCCTACGGTTTACCGGGCAGTTCTGTTTGTGACAATATATATATTTCCATCTCTCTCTCTCTCTCTCTCTCTCTCTCTCTCTCTCTTGGTGCCTTGGCAAGATTTGATAGGCTGTCTGGAGGTCCGTGGGGAGTTTATCTCCCGGCGGAGTACCCCGGACTGTAGAGGTTTTTGAGGGGATAAAGAGATGGAAAAAAGAAAAAAGAAGAAATCTTGTAATCCCGGTGGACGGTGGGAGAAGTGCACAACTGGGGATGAATCAAACTTATCGGGAACGTTTTTTTTTAATCCCAGTAGACTTTCTATTTGTGGGCCTGGTCTAATCCGGGAAAAGCGTGATTGGGAATCAGTAAAGGAAAGGCAGGGTACTCGAGCAAAGGCAAGGTTAGTCAGAAAGAAGGATACAGGCCCACCCACAAACAGGCATGCTGCAACAAAGCGTGAAACCGTATCTGCTAGAGGGCTGAACAGGACAAACCTGTGCCTGCTCAGACTCAGCTCTGGAGGCTGAGGGTGCCGGTTTGAATCCGTGCGTGCATGGAGGAGGTCATGTGGCTGATGAAGTGCAGACTGTACTTCAACTGGGTAACCAGCCCGGAGATTATACCTGGATGTGGTGGCCCGTGGATAAAACCGTTGGATAAGCAGCTGTGCTGGATGAGAACGGAGTGTGCGACTACTGCCCGTGTGGCGGATGCCTTGTGTGGTCTTGTCTGTGTGTGTGTGTGTGTGTGTGTGTGTGTGTGTGTG